TGCCGCTAGCGAGGGTTCATTATGGGCTGCAACGCGACGCCGCGGGGGTGTCGCAGCTCACGCTGATCGCTCGCCTACGCTAGCAGCCTGGCGGCGATAGCCCGTAGGCGCTGGCGGACCAGCTCCGCGTCGAAGGATTCCGCCTGCTTTTCCCCCAGCCACCGCAGCCAATTCGCCGCCGAGAGNNGGCGGTTTCGTAGAAGCCGACGACCTCGTCGCGGCGAGCCGCATCCCCCAGCGATAGCTCCCCCGCCAGACGAGCCACGTCTGCTAGCACCGTGTCCCGGCGCATCGCGCCGAAGTCGATCAGCCCCGTGAGCTTGCCCTCGGACATCAAGAAGTGCTCGGGCCGGGCGTCCCCGTGGATGGGCTGGAGGTCCCATTCCCGGAGGGCGAAAGGCGCCAACTGCTTTGCCGCGCGGTTGGCGTCGGCGGTGAGTCGAACGGCCAACTCCCCCAGTTCGGGCCACGCCGTCAACGTGCTGAGGTCATAAAGCGGCGGCGTGGATTGCAGCGTCAGGACTCGTGACAGCCGGTCTTCGAACGCTCGTCCGCTGGTCGGTTGGGTCTCGGTCACCATGAGCCTCTGGTGGGCCCTAGCGAGCCCGCTCACGGCTTCTCGAACCGCGGTCGACTCGTAGGCCGATTCGGAGAGCGGCTCGCCAGGGAGCCACGCAGTGGCCTCCCAGAGGCAGTCGTGGGCGTCGCGAAAAGGGGGGCCGATCGGCGCGGCGATGAATGCTAATCCGGAACTCTTCGCGAAACGCAGCGTACTAGATATCCAGGCGAGACGCGCTGAATCGGCGCCTTTGCCCCAGCGCCGGAATGCAAAGCCCTGCTTGCCATCCGTCACGCGCCAGACCGACGCCCCGCTCAAGCCTCCCGACGCCGGCGTCCATTCCCAGGACCTCCCGGCAGCGATCCCCCCGATTGATTCGAGCCCCAACAATCGGTCTTCGATCGAACGACGGATCGCCTCGGTTGGGAGCATTGCGCGGTAGAGGTCCTCGTAAGCCGCAAGATAGTGGCTAATCTGATTAAGCAAACCGGGCAGAATAAGCTATAATTAAGGGCTATCGCTCGGAGTCTCGGTTCCAATTATTCCGTCATCACCGATCTTAACGCCCGCGGCCTTCGCCGTGGAACTTCGGTCGGCCCTCAGCCTTTCCCACGTCGGAACGCTACCTATGTCGTTTTGCCGTTCGACCAGCCGCTTTGGCCGCTCCCTGATTTCAACCGGGCTTGTCGCGACCGGAACCGCTCTCGCTCTGGCGTTGTGCGCTACTCCGTCGCTGGCCGAAGAGGCCAAGGGCGAGGAAGACACCAACAAGGCCAAGGCCGCAGACACGGTCTCCGCCGAGCCCTCCTCGTCGGGCGACGCCAAGAAGTCCGAGTCGAGCGACTCCTCCAAGCCGAAGTACCCGCCCGCGTCGAAGGTCCTCTCCGACACGAAGAAGATCGACGGCGTGCTGACGCTGCATCGCTCGGACAGCAAACTCTTCGCCGAGCTGAAGCCCGCGGACCTGGACAAGGACTTCATCGTCCTGATCACGATCGCCAAGGGCATCGGCCAGTCGCCGCTCTTGGGCGGCTACAGCTGGAACTTCGACGACAACTGGGTGTGGCAGTTCCGCAAGCAGGGGGACAACATCCAGGTCGTCCGCCGCAACGTCCGCTTCAAGGCCGACGCCGGCTCGCCGACCGCCGAGGCCGTCAAGCTCGCCTACACCGATAGCATCCTGTTCAGCCTGCCGATCGCTGCGAAGGGGTCGAGCGGGTCGTACATCGTCGATCTGTCGGGCGTCTTCTTCACCGACCTGCCGCAGATCAGCCAGGTACTGCCGGGCTTCTCGTTCAGCTCACAGCGGAGCAGCTGGTCGGAGGTGCGTGGCTACGACAAGAATGTCGAGATCCAGGTCGCCGCGACCTACTCCTCGAGCGGCTACATGTCGCTCGACACGGTCCCCGACTCGCGCGCCGCGACCATCAACATCCACTACTCGATCAGCAAGCTCCCCTCGACCGACTACAAGCCACGCGAAGCGGACGACCGGATCGGCTACTTCCTCGCGGCGGTGAAGGACTTCTCCAAGGAAGACCCCGACGACCGTTTCGTGCGTTACATCACGCGCTGGAACCTGCAGAAGGTTGATCCCTCGGCCGACATCTCGACGCCGAAGAAGCCGATCAAATTCTGGCTCGAGAAGACGATCCCCTACGCCTACCGCAAGCCGATCCGCGACGGCATCGAGGAATGGAACAAGGCCTTCGAGAAGGCCGGCTTCTACAACGCCATCGAGGTCGAGCAGCAGCAGACCAGCGCCGACTGGGACCCGGGCGACATCAACTACAACACGTTCCGCTGGATCACCAGCGGCGCGGGCTTCGCGATGGGCCCGTCACGCGTCAATCCGCTGACGGGCGAGATCCTCGACGCCGACATCATCCTCGACGCCGACTTCCTCCAGTTCTGGAAGCAAGAGTACGAGTACTTCACGCCGCAGGGCATCGAGCTGCTCACGGGTGGCCCGATCCAGATGGAGACCTACTACGCCCAGCAAGAGGCGCTGCCCGCGCGGATGCGGTCGCACGCCCACGACGGGCGTTGCAGCTGCAACCTGCTCGCCGGCGCTTCGCGTCAGCTCGCTTTCGCCGCGACCGTCGCCGCCACGCGCAAGCGTAGCAAGGACGACCTCGAGAAGCTCATCAACCAGGGCCTCAAAGAGGTCACGATGCATGAGGTCGGTCACACGCTCGGCCTGCGGCACAACTTCAAGGCGAGCACGCTCCACTCTCTCGAAGACGCCCGCGACACTGAGAAGACCCGCAAGGAAGGCCTCGTGGCGTCGGTGATGGACTATGTCCCGACGTTCATCGTCCCCGAGAAGTACACGCAGGGCGACTACTACACGACCACCATCGGCCCCTACGACTACTGGGCCATCGAGTACGGCTACAAGCCGCTGAAGGACGAGAAGAAGGAGCTGGCAGCTATCGCCTCTCGCAGCGGCGAGCGTGGCCTCGCGTTCAGCACCGACGAGGACACCCGCGGCATCGACCCCGACCCGCACAGCCGGCGTTTCGACTTCGGCGACGACCTGGTGGCCCACGCCGAGATGCAGTCCGAGCTCGTGGCCGAGGCCATGCCGCGCATCATCGACGACATGGTCGAAGACGGCGAGGGCTATCAGAAGGCCCGCCAGGCGTTCGGCGTGCTGCTCGGCACCCAGATGAGCTCGGTCTTCAACGCGGCCCGCTACGTGGGCGGCGTCTACGTCAGCCGTTCGCACAAGGGCGACAAGGACGCCCCCGAGCCGTTCTCGCTCGTCGAGGCCGAGCGGCAGCGCGAGGCGCTCGACCTCGTGGCCGAGAAGATGTTCAGCGACGAGCCGTTCGACATCCCGCCGTCGATCTACAACAAGCTGATCCCGTCGCGCTGGTCGCACTGGGGCGCCGCCAACGCGTCGCGGATCGACTACCCGATCCACGCCACGATCCGCCTGATGCAGGACCGCACGCTCGACCAGCTGATGGGCCCGCTGACGCTCACCCGCCTGCACGACAACGAGTTGAAGGTCGACGGCGAGGTCGAGATGCTCACGGTCGATGACGTGCTCTCGACGCTCAGCGACTCGATCTTCGCCGAGCTGAAGGACCTGAAGGAAGACACGGAGTACACCAATCGCAAGCCGCTGATCAGCAGCCTCCGCCGCAACTTGCAGCGGACCTACCTCGAACGGCTGGCGAAGTTGGCGCTCGACCGCACGTCGGCGCCCGAGGATTGCCAGACGCTCGCTTACGCCGAGTTGGGTGACCTGAAGAAGGAGATCGACACGCTGCTGGAGGACGACCCGGAGCTCGACCGCTACAGCGAGGCGCACCTCCGCGAGGCGTCGGACCGCATCCGTAAGACGCTCGAGACCGATCGCGTCTTCGACACGGGCGGCGGGTCGGCGTTTATGAGCCTGTTGCTGCTGGGCAAAGAGCCCAGTCAGCAGGAGGCCGCCGCGGCCGCCCTCCGCTCGGGGGCGCCGCTGTCCGAGGCCGAGGCCGCCGGGTACGCTGCTCCGTAGCGGGGAAGGCGGTTCCCCGATCGGTTGTTGCGGCAAGTGCAGGCATGAAACTCATACTCGCGGTGATCCAGCCGACGAAGCTGGAAGCGGTCCACGAAGCGCTCCAAGCGATCGGCGTCACACGCATGACGGTCGCCGACGCGATGGGCTTCGCCCGCCAACGCGGCCACGCCGAAACGTACCGCGGCCACGAGTACGAGACGCACCTCCTCCGCAAGGTCGAGGTGCAAATCGCCGTCAACGACGACTTCGTCGAGCCGACAATCCGCTGCCTGGAAGAGCACGCCCGCACNNTCGGGGACGGCAAGGTGATGGTGCTGCCACTCGATAACGCCTACCAGATCAGCGATGGGCTGACGGGGCCAGGGGCGGTTTGAGCATGGCAGCGTTACTCGTCACCACCGACCTCATGGCGACCTCCACCGCCCACGGCGCCGCGTCGCAAGCGGGCGTGGAGCTCAAGACGGTCTCGCCGAACGCCGCGTTAGAAGCCGCCAGCGAAGCCACGCGCTTCGTCGCCCTCGACCTAACAACCAAGGTCGCCGACCTCGCCGCGTGGGCCGCGTCGATCCGCACCGCGGCGCCGAACGCGACGCTACTGGCCTACGGCCCCCACGTCCACGAGGCCCGGCTCGAAGCGGCGCGCGAGAGCGGCTTCGACCTCGTCATCAGCCGCGGCCAGTTCCACCAGAAGATGGCGGACCTCCTGCGGACCTACGCTGCGCCTTCTGGCCCCTCATCAGCCAACTAGCCGATCTCGTCGAGCGCCTGACCGTCGACTTGTCGTCGCATGACGAGATAGGTGGCGACGCCTGCGCAGTAGAAATAAGCGGGAAAGAAGCCTAACAGCACGCAATGCAAGGCTAACGGGGCGCCATCGGTAAACGCGTTCGTCATTTCAATGCTAGTCGTCAGTAGCCAGTGGATGACGATGCTGGAAACAACCAGTCCAATCCAGCCGAGGAAAACGCAGGTGGCGAGCGATCCTGGTTTTTGAAAGACGTAAGCGACTGTTCGACTGAGAGCGTCAAAGGGGTCGGCGTCGTCAACGACAACCGATGCGACCAATAGCGGCGCCCCGTACACGACAACGCCGAGCAGCATTGCGAGAGGCAGCCCTCCGACAACGCCACCAATGCTCGCCATACCGTTCGCCAACGTCGATGAGAAGACGGCATGCACCAGCAAGCCGCAAACTCCAAGAAAAACCGCGCAGCAGGCGGCT